AGATGCTGATCTTGTATGCTGGACTCTTCAACCAGCCTACCTTGAGATATTTCAGAATTTGGGATAGGACTTAATGAAAACTGAGGAGTCGGGATTGCTGACCACCACAGGGAGTTTGTAGACAGAGACAATGCAACGGGAAACAAAACTTTTCTACGTAGGTAGGGGAGGGGACGTAAAGCGGGGGAGACGGGATAAAATAAAAAAATTTTTAAAAGTTTATAAGAAAACAGCCGTGGTGAGGAGAATTTCTTCTTCGTACCAGCCCACTTCATCAGGAGAAATACTGCAGAGAACATCTTCGATGATGTAAGACTCAGGTAAGGCAAGAGAGAAAAATACTACTGTCACCATAATCGGCATAACTAACCCTAACAAATGAAGTATTTACAACATAAACTCGGTCATAGAACGAATGAGCATTTTTTAAAAGAAACACAGGTATAAAAGACACAAGGGGAAAAAATGAGAACCAAGACCTGTCATGTAAAGGTGCGAGATCCCAATAATGAATGTAGCTGTACTGTCCACCTAAAATGTACCCATAAACGCAATTTAAAAAAAAAAAGACACAGAGCGGGCAAAACCCATAACCAGTGCAGCAAGAGATGAAAAAAAGGTTTTACAAAAGAAGGTTCCTCATTACAAATAGGAGCACAGGATACAAGGAGACAATACAGAGCACAGCTTACACCAGAAAGGAAAAAAGAAGGAATAAAACAAAGGTATCATAAGAGACAAAATGCGTTTCGCTTTGAATTCATAAAATTCACGAACCCAGGAAAAGTCAAGTATTATTTGGTTATGAGATGGGAATTCCTGCCCACTTGTGGTGGGAGTGTGGATGTATCTTAAGATTGTAAGTGAATACACAGTCCAGGCACCAAGATATATGGTTCTGAGCACCTGTGGCTTCCTCTCAACGCTGGCTCTAAGTCAGCAAGAAAGAGAATGCTCCCTGTGGAATTTATATTACTGAAAGAACCAGAGCAACGCACTTTCCCATAAGTGTGGAAAAGGCAAATAAGATGTTACGTTGCACTTGGAATCACAGGGGCTGAATCTGCTGATTTAGCAGAGGCAGCTACACACCTGAGCCACTCAATATCAGGAGGCCCTAAAGGGTGGGGGTTGGGCAAGAGCAGCCTTCTCTCTGGCTCTGCACCCCAAATCCAAGCTCAGAGACTCGCTGCAAAGTACTCCGAGTCTGTACTCCCAAACTCTTCACTCTTGACCTCCCTACCTGAGCCGCATTTCTGATCCAGCTACAGTAAAAAACCCAGCAGACGTCAGCGCCTGGTGCCTACACATTCACTGGGAGGTGCACAGCCCACACCAAGGGGCGCCTTGAAGGGAAGCTCACTGCTTTATCTCACTGTGCCAATCCCATGGCTTCTCCAGTATCCCGACATGAGGGGGTGCTCCAGAGTGTGGGGATGCAGCAGGCCTCAGTGGGATTTCCAGGACTGCAGTCTCCGGTCAGTTATGAAACACATAACAAAGGCTCGGTGTCAGCTCTTTCCTCAGAGAGATATGTCACTGCAAAGGAGTGACGAGCCAGCCTTAGAGGTGACAGCACCAGGCAGACGATGTTTACATAGAGTCCAAGGACTGTAGCAAATATATAAGATGACAACACTGTCCTTCTGGAGGCATACCACGGCACAAGTCCAACTCAAATTCCAAGTGTTTCTCAGCCTGTGGCAAAATCGTAGAGCCTTTTGGAAGTTGTGTTTATTAATAGGAACACTTTCAGCTCCCCTTGATAACCTAATAAAATCCCATGAATTTTTCTCAGCATTCTATATGGTATGGCAAGGCCTCATTTCAGTGGTTTATTTATGAGCAGAGGAGACCCCTGACACGCTAAGATGATACATCTTTTTCAGTGCTCTGTGTAATACAGGACTTAAGTGCTGTAGGGATAAATTTTATTTATTGCCCTTTGTCGTGTACGGTTTCCTAATTAATTTGGCTCGATCTGCTAAAAGAATGTCTATTAGTCTTAAATAAGTATAAAAGGGAAAGTTTATTGAAGGATATGTGCATATAGAAAATAAAAGTAAGAATGGAGAGGATAAAGAAAGAGGAGAGTCCTCTAATAGTAAGAGGGACTCTATCCGGGAAATTATCCTTAGGCTCTCTGGTAACAATACTGGAATGTTGGAGGAATTAGGTTTATTATTTGCAATATAGCACGGGTCTCTTCAGTAATCCCTTTAGCTATAGGTTTCAATCCCGGGTGTAAGATAGCAGCAGCAGCCTGGGTTAGGTGGGCTGTTTTTATAGCTCTCTAGACAAAGGTAGTAAAACTACCTGAATTTTTGGCGCGAAAAAGGTGAATGTGCTTGCAGTCACGTCCCAACCAGGCCCTGGCCAGGGGTCCGGGAGGGGCGGAATGTATCACATTTTTTATTTTGATGTTAAGAATATTTGGTTTTTTTAACAAAGTCCTTCTTGTTTTTTTTCTAGGGAGGGAGTAGTATTGTTCCATTTTCCCATGTCCCCTATCTCTGTCATTTTTTTTAACATTGTCTCAATAGGGGACCCTGTCTCAGCCAACAAAAGAGTTATCATTAAATGTTTATAAGTAGGGGGAGCAGTGCGCACTATCAAATTATGCTGGGTAGCCGTCAGAGGGCTAGCCAAATATATGTCTGTTTGTCCTAGCATAATAGCCGTTTTTATGGCTTTTCCTTTTAAACGGGCTATGCCATCCTTTAAAGTATATCATGGACGCGTTTCAGTCGGCCATGACCCATCAGTAGGATATTGCGCAATATATCCCCTAGTGGCCAAAGTTAACACAGAGGTGGAGGACTCAGCTGGATCGGCATGTTGATGGTCTCGAATAGCAGTTTGAACAAAAGGATTAGTGGAGATTGTAAGAAATGTTTGGGCATCCACATGATCCACACTAATTCCTCCAGTTCCAGTATCAGTTATTCTAATCATCTAATTTAACAAGGATTCTCTAGGCTTTTGGGAGAATTTGGTTAAAATATCAGTAATTTCTTGTTGGGAAAAATCTTCAGTAATTATGGTATACTCTCTTTGATCTCCCCTAACCTTCTGTTGCCGCCGCTGGAGGGGTTTAGCTTGTAGTGGGCCTGATTGCAATCTTGGGGGATATTTTTCTTGGTCATATCTATGTGCTTCTTCTTCTAAATCATCCCAATTAATATCATTATCATTAGTATCATCCCAAATATCTCCATCCCAAGTATCAGGGTCCCAATTTATTCCAGCTGTAGCGATAACAGCATGTACTTTTCGGGAGTTAATTCGTCCGCGCCTCTTCTTATATTTATATTGAGCGCAGCGAACGGCAGCTTTTTCCGCTATAGACTGATATCCACGAGCTTGATCCCCCAATATAAAATTCTGACACTGTAACATAGCCAATTTACTCTGTAGTTCGGCATTTTCTTTTTTTAAAGTAAGCTTTTTTTGTAACAAAGTTTCTACTTTCTGACACATATATCGATAAGCAGACAACAAAATCCATCCTCGGCGAGAGATGGCAGTTAATTCAGCTCCTTTTTTTACCGGAACAGTTCCCAACACTTCGATAACCTGGGGAGGATTTGCCTGCTGCAGTTTGCCACTCCAATTTTCACTTAAACCTGTTCCCATAGCCCACTGTCTGGCTAAGGAGGCAAACTGCGGATCTTCCCACCCAGGAACATCACAAGTAACACAGGCGATTTTTTTAGTTTTCTTACGAAAGAAAGGCATGGCTGCGTTGTCTCAGCGGATCCTGCTGACTACGCCAATTTGTAGGGATAAATTTTATTTATTGCCCTTTGTGGTGTACGGTCTCCTAATTAATTTGGCTCGATCCGCTAAAAGAACGTCCACCAGCCTTAAATAAGTATAAAAGGGAAAGTTTATTGAAGGATATGTGCATATAGAAAACAAAAGTAAGAATGGAGAGGATAAAGAAAGAGGAGAGTCCTCTAACAGCAAGAGGGACTCTATCCGGGAAATTATCCTTAGGCTCTCTGGCAACAACACCGGAATGTTGGAGGAATTAGGTTTATCACTCGCAACATAGCACGGGTCTCTTCAGCAATCCCTTCAGCTACAGGTCTCAATCCCGGGCGTAAGACAGCAGCAGCAGCCTGGGCTAGGTGGGCTGTTTTTATAGCTCTCTAGACAAAGGTAGTAAAACTACCTGAACTTTTGGCGCGAAAAAGGTGAATGTGCTTGCAGTCACGTCCCAACCAGGCCCTGGCCAGGGGTCCGGGAGGGGCGGAATGCATCACACTCCTTATCTTGATGTTAAGAACATCTGGTCTTTTTAACAAAGTCCTTCCTGCTTTTTTCCAGGGAACTGGCCAGGTATCCAGGGAAAGAAGAGGTGAACTAGTGATTATGCGCCTTAGAGAGCAGAAAGCCTTAACCCAAGCCTTTCCAACTTAAAGTTTTAACTTTCCTTACAAGTGCATGCTTGGCAAGCGCTCCACCACTTAACTCTACCTCCAGAGTCACATGGCCTCCAAGGTAAACATTTCTTTGCATTCTCATGGCCTTTTTCAATAGCTAGAAGGAGTCTGGCAATGTAGTGTCATACTGCAAATTTAGGATGTCACTGTCATCAAAACGATCTCTTGCTGGAAGAGGAAAGCTTTGAGTTCGAGACCCTGCATCAAAGACATTTATAAAATGCAGGTCCCCCAGGTGTGCTGCAGGGAAACAGCACACCAGAGTTCCCTCGGTTCAACCCCTCACTGGAATCATCCCACAACCCCATCTCCCCTTCCCTGGTGGACGCCCGGTGGTGGGCCGGGGGTGCCCGAGCCTGCGCTGTAGGCTGGTGGGATCCCAGTGACAGACGGAATGCTGGGGACTCACAGTGGAGCAGTCCCAACCCCAGAGAGCAGGGACAGAAGGTTCCCATCCCAGCGCTAGAGACCAGGACCTCAGACCGCAGTCTACCTCGGCCGGTGCTCGCCACTTCTATTTACACCGCACCCCCATCGCATCCCAGTTTGTACCGCACCATCGTGTGCCTTGAGTGTTCCCCAGAGTTCTTCCCGCGCAGCACAGAGCCGGTGGGAGCCACAGAGCCAGCTGGTCAAGACAGGCGGCTGACAGACTCACAGCAATACGCTCAAGTCGCACACGGAGGCGCCATGATCCCGGAAGAGCCCTACTTCCTGCTCCCCCGGATTGGACAGGTCATAATGCCCGCCCCTTAATCAGTGATTGGCTGCTGCTCCACGGCCAATCCGCTGAGCTGTGCGTGACAGCTGAGACAGAGCCGAACTCTCAACAGCATTTACACTTTTGTCACCTACTTTCCTCTTCTCCGCAACATGCTGGAGCGAAAAAAAAAAAAACCACTCAAATCACGTCTTTCAATTGAAGCCAGGGGAGGGCTTGTTTCCTTCTGTACTTATCAAATAAGTTGAAAAGGAATATTGTAAAATACTAAATATTGTGACATACACTGTCAGTCAGGGGGAGAAACCAAAGAGTGGTTTCTCACTAATGCTGCATGCTTTCTCTCCGCTGTGAACTTCCCCACATGCCATTCCCATGGCCTTCTCCAGAAAGGAGAATCTGGGTGGATCCATGAGCAATACAGTTTACAGCCCCTTTTGGAGCGCACAGTCTCTCTCCGCAGAGAGAAGGCTGAGGTTTTCTGATATTTAATTTATCCCAACACTGTAATCCTGGTTAACGGTTGTGATGAAGGATCCCCATCTTATCTGGGCATGCTGGCGCAAGCCTGTCACCCTAGCACAGAGGGAGGCTGAAGAATGACTGAAGGTTCAGCCCTGCCCGGCTGACGTAACGAGACCTCGTCCCCACACTTCGGGTCGTGTAAGGCTGTAGCTCAGAGCAGGAATCCTGAGTTCAACGTCCAGGAAAAGCAGTTAAAAACATCAGCCGCACCGTGCAGTCATCTTTATCCTGAGTAACCCTTTGTGCTTACAGAGATGAAGGACACCGTGAGCGAGCTACAAATTCATACATGGGCTTTTCGTATTAAAAATCTGAGTCTGCCTAGTAGCACTCAGTGGCTCTCCTGAAGAGCCAGCAGTGGGTGTGTGGGAGAGGAGCAGCTCCCCACACCGCTGTTTGCAGCGGAGGGCTCCATGATCTGAGAAGTGACATCGTGGATGGATGGCAAGACAACAGTGCAGCTAAAGGCAGCCTGACTCCCAGAAAGAACTCCTACGGAGGCAGAAATTCATCCACGGGAAGAAACAAATTTCCACTTAATCAATCATCGGCTCCTACCAGAATGCCTTGTTTGCTCGCTGCTAGGACGCTTCTTGCATCAGTGCTGTCAGAGTGTCATATTCAATAAATAGTGGCAAGCTCCAGGAGATGTCCTAGCCAGATAGGAGCTTTCACTGACTGGGTCCCCCACTTGTGCGTTAAGATCTTGGCTCGTCGTTTTTAATCCTGCTGCCCTGCCTTTGGTCATGTGATTGGGGGTCTGATGAGCCTCCAGCAGCTTAGACTGAGATGATGGTGTCCGCGGAGCGATTCAGTTCAGAACACAGTCAGAAAATTTTTGCTTCAATTTTGCCTCAAAAACAATAAGGTGAACTGGTCAGTTATAACAGAAGATGTATACACTTAACTTTTAATCAGTTTCTCTCTTTATTGCAAGCCTGTGACGTCTGACCCAATCACAGGGAGCCACCACACAACCTTTCCTTTCTTGTCACGCTAAGGACACCCCAACCTCGTGGAAACACTGCTCTGCGGAACCGTGAACGCGGCCGACACAGTCTGCCCACGAATCGCCGCCTTTGCACTGCTCTGCGGTTGTCGCTGTCAAAACTTCTACAGCTGCTCTACAGAAACATATCCACTCCTAGCTACCTTTGTTCAGACCCCTCACGGACAACATCCCTTACAGAAGGTAAGTCATAGATCTGGGCAAGCCCATGTCCATAGGCCTTTTTCCCTCCGTGACCTTGAAAAGATCAAACAAGACCTAGGAATGTTTTTAGATGATCCTGGTAAGTACACTGAGGTCTTTAGGGGTCCAACCCAAACCTATGAATTAGATTGGAAAGATGCAACATTACTTTTAAATCAAACATTGAATGCTAATAAAAAACAAGCAGCACTACAAGCTGCCATTGCATATGGAGACAAAAATATCATATTATTAATTACTGGGAGCCAGAACACAGACAGCTTGGGGAGTAGCCCGTCTGTAATGGAGCCCAAGCAGTCCCCACACAGAATCCCAACTGGCCTACTAACCAGACGGGAGATTATAATAGGAGACATTTTTAGAGGTGTATTCTTGAAGGTCTAAGAAGGACAAGCTCTAAGCCTTTTAATTATTTTAAATTAGCAACTATTCAATAGGAGGAAAAAGAAAATGCTTTTGCCTTTTTAGATCACTTACAAGAGGCACTGATGAAGCATACAGCCTTAGCTTCTGGACTGATAGAAGGACAGGTTATTCCTAAGGACAAGATTATTACACAGTCAGCCCCCAACAGTAGGAAAAAATTACAAAAGATGGCTTTTTCGCCAGCCAACTCACTTAATACTTTATTAAAAAGTGCTTCCTGTGTATTTCACAGTTGAGAGCAGGAGGAAACCAGGGAAAGCAAACAGGAACAGAGAGAAGGCAGCAGCCTCAGCAGCAGCTCTAAGAGAAATACATTCTAGGTCGGATTCTGGGGGCCCCGAGAAGACCTGGACAACTGAACCTAACTGCTACCCCTGCACCGGCCAGGCCATCTCAACAAGGACTGCAGCAAGAGGCGCCCTACACCGCCCTGCCTGTAAAGGTGACCCCTGGAGGTCAGCCTGCCCTCTGAGGTGAAGGCCCCAGAGTTCAGACCCATCCTTCCGGTGGGTCCAACCAGGCTGAAGGCCCCCAGGCACGCTCTGCCTTTACCTCTGGACAGACCGTCCTCTCCATGGAGGAGCCCTGAGGAATCATGACTACAGCGGGAAAGGGAATGGGCGCCCTGCTGCTGCTGGGCACTGGTGTCTCTGTTCTCCTCTCCTACCCTGGACTTCCTGCCAGCTGTCACACATCAGGAAAAGGAATCCCTGAAAAAGAGGTAACTCACTATTTTACTCAACCCTTAGTTGTACCTGGGATGGCTTTCTCCTCACCCATTCCTATTTAATTATGTCCTGAAAGTCCTGTACCCCTCCCGGGGAGAGATATCTTGTCCTGTCTAAATACAGTAATCTAACGTATTCAGGACAGGGACACTGCCTCCCTCTTGTAGAAACAGAAATACATCCTGAAGCATGGACAACTACAGGTGAAACAGGGAGGGCAAGAAAGGCTGCCCCGATACAGATTCATCTCAAAGATCCTACTATTTTAGATTCATCTCAAAGATCCTACTATTTTTCCTCACCAGAGGCAATATCCTCTAAGGCCTGACACGAAAAGGAAATTATTGCCTCTAATCGACAACCTGCGAGCACAAGGTTTACAGTACTTAGAGCCTGTTAGAGCCCATGCAACACTCCAATCTTGGGCGCCCCCAAACCCAGTAGAGAATGGAGGTTAGTCCATTCCGGTAAACGAGGCAGCGGTGCCAACCCACCCAGTACAACCCATACAGACTCAGGTCCCTGACGATGCCTGCTGGTTTTTGGTGTCAGATACAAAAGATGCCTTCTTTTGTATTCCTTTACGTTCAGATTCTCAGTTTCTTTTTCGTGTTTGAAAATCCTCATGATCAGGCCTCTCAACTGACTTGGACTGTGCTTCCTCAGGGATTCAGGGACAGTCCTCACCTTTTGGGACAAGTGCTTTCCCACGACCTGCCGTATTTTGAGTTTTCCCAGGTCACAGTCTCACAACATGTAGATGACAAATTGATATGCGCCCCCTCAAAAGAACTCTAGCCAAGCTACCAGGGCTCTGCTAAATTTTCTAGCAGACAGGGGTTATAAGGTTTCTAGATCTAAAGCACAACTTTGTAACCTTGAGGTAAAATATTTAGGCCTTATCATAACTAAGGGAACCTGGAGACTAGTGGAAGAAATAATTAAACCAATGCTTTCCTTCCTAGTCCCTAAGACCCTAAAAAAGCTAAGGGGATTCCTAGGAATGATGGGCTTTTGTCATCTTTGGATGGTAGGGTATGGTGAGATTGCATGACTTCTCTATCAGCTTATAAAAGAAACCCAAAACACAGATACCCATATTTTAACCTAGATATCCGATTCCCAAACAGCATTCCGCAAGTTCAAACAAGCACTTCTAAATCCCCCTGCACTGAGCTTACCCACAGACACCATCTCAAGCTGTATGTTGATGAAAGGCAGGGAATGCCTTTAGGAGCTTACTCAAAATCAGGGAACTGCTCTCAAAAACAAAAACAAAAAAGCTGGGCATGGTGGCGCACACCTGTAATCCCAGCACTCGAGAGGCTGAGGCAGGAGGATCACTGTGAGTTCAAGACCAGTCTGGGCTACATAGTGAGTTCCACGTCAGTCTCTACTACATAGTGAGACCATGTCTCAAAAAAACAACAGAAAAAAAGATGAGGGACCTGCTCAAAAGCCTGTAGGGTATCTAAGTCATGAACAAGATACTATAGCAAAGAGATGACCTGCGTGCCTTAGAGCTATAGCAGCAGTAGCTCTCCTAATTCCAGAGGCATCCCACCTGATTTGGGGCAAAGATCTCACAGTATACAGAGCCCACAATGTGGCAGGACTTCTTTCATCCAAAGGTAGCTCATGGCTATACTCACCATATTCCTATTGATCTTACTGTTTGGCCCATGTATCCTTAACTGTCTTTCTGGCCTTGTCTCCTCCAGACTTAAAGCTATACACCTACCCATGATGGAAATGCCTAGTGCCTACTGAGGACCTTCACAGAGACCTTCTGAAGGGTATCTGTGACTGACAACCACAACTACAACCCCCTTCAGCCTGAAGTAGCTAGAGTGGTCACTGCCCCCTACTCCCTCACAGCAGTTCGGGATATTTCTTCAAAGGTGGGGGGATATAATAGATACATGAGCCGGGTAGGAATATCACAGGCAGTCAGATAGGGCTAAGTCCTTGAGAAGGCCAGGACAAAGGTGAAACACACCACAGCTGTACGTGAGCTGAAAACCAGGCCTCAAGATGGAGACAAGATGATCAGACTCACACGCTTCTTCAAAGAAGAA